AAAACCCTGATATGTTCTTCACAAAAGCCTTGCTTTATCTCACACTGGAGGCCCTTATGCATAAAAGGTGGATATCCTATGTGGGGAGGTTTTATAAGAAATCCAGTTGAATGTTTTCAAGTGATACATGCTCGGACTAAAATTATGACTTTGATGTGTTTTATTGTAAATGCCACAAGCAGAGTTGAAATATACGGGAACTGCAAGTCATAGCCAGCCATATAAACCTACAGTACAGGAAGTTAGACATAGGCCAGCTGAAAACCACTTCAGCCACAATCCCCGGGGATAAACTAATGATATCAAATGGTGCGAGAGTTTTTAAAGCCCTCATGGTTGTGTTCTGTGTTAAACATGGTGCCTTGCGGGGGGGCGTTGCAGACAGGTCAGAAACTCAGCTGAACTGAGTCTGACCTGCCGTTAGTTCTGCTAGGTGGAGTTATTTCCTGGGTCACTTGTCCAATATGAAGGGGTTAAAGAGATCACTTCCAGCAGACTGCAGACATATTCCCCCAATAGTGATTAAGGTGATTACACTACATCGACTGGAACTGCGTACATCTGCCTACAATCTGTAGCATACTTGTAGAGCGGCACTAGACAGTATGTATATATCTAAGCTGGAAATACAGTACAGTCTATATTCACCATGGTGGTTTATAGGACTGAAGAACATCAAAGAATCCAACTTTCTCTTCCACTTACAATTCTGCACACTCCCTCTACCGTACCTGCAGTCTTTAAAAAAATGTCCACAAGGAAGTGGACTGCTTCACAAAGTTGTAGAAGTGTAATAAGCTCCAAAGTACAATATGCATCTCTGTCCATAGATCATGGCGCCTGATGATAGCTGTTTTGCTGTGAATAACTGTGATTATTCCAGACAACAATTCGGGCAACTTTGGAAACACTTGTAATTCACAAGCGAGCGCCTTTAGCTATTCGATTTGAGCTTTTCAGCAGTCGCACACAAAAGAAATGCAATTTTGCAGCATGAATATTATACCTGAGGTCTGAAATGAAATCCTCATGCTGAATGAAAGTCATATTTTGTGATTGCGAACGCTATCTCTGCTGCTCTACTTGCGCAGCTACACACACACACACACACACACACACACACACACACACACACACACACACGCATACATACATACACACAGAAAGCGAGGGCAGGTTTTTATGAGTAATCCTTGCTACTGATTCAGGGCCTGTAATTGTAAGCGGCGCAGCAGGAAGTGAAGCAAGTCTCAGCTATTGACCAGCTTCGGTCTCACACTGAGCTAAAACACAGGGGTGGTGGCACTGCCGCTGAGAACATGTCAATTTTGCTCTTTAGAAAAGGGGCACTGCTTGAAGACTGAAAGCAAATCAACATGGCTATCGACCCAGACAACCCAACCCTGTAAATTGCACTCAGAGAGACGAACAAAACAACAAAAACCATCTCTGGGCTTTTATTGATGGCCAACACTTTGGCTAGCTCGCCTTACTTCCAGACGAGGATTAGATTGAAAAGGCTTGATAGACTGTTCAAACACATACAGTATGCACTTTGTAACGGCAGTTTAGCTCACGGACAACCAGAGCTGTTTCAATTTCGATGAACAAAAAACTTGCCACTTTGGCATCATCTATTGCTCAACATCAGGTGAAGGTGTGGTAAAGAGCATACCTCTCTATTCACAAAGGAAGTGACATCGTAGTGTTGTGCAAACACTGCTGCGAGGCACTGTTGTCAAACTCGTCCGCTCTCAGGTCAGACAACAGCTCTTTTCTTCCTTACGTGGGAGTAGATAACATCATTCTGACTGCATGTGTGCTGTGTTTTGTCATTCTGTTCTTTACACTTGTGACAGTGTGTGGGCATACTGAGGGCCTCCGTCACACAGTCCAAAACACACTGTGTTGTTCTTCTCTAACATAAATGGGAACTGTGCAGATAGGATCCACCTTGAACAAACAGAAATGCTTCTCTATGAGGAAATCCCACATGTACTGGCTGGGATATTTTGTGTTTCTACATGAATGGGTGCTATAGCTGCTCAGCATGTACAAGTTCTTTGCAATAAAAGCATTCTGATACATATTTGTGGTAAAATGTTCAAAACTCAAGGTTGACTTATGAGCTTTCTACGAACATGAGACCAAAATTGATCACTTGGGAGGGGTCATATTCAATGCCAAAGACCATCCTTGTACAGAGACACTTGACCCATACACAGGTCAGAAGAAAGGCCGTGTTATATGGTCAAAAGCTCTGGAAAAAGCAGGTAAGTGAATTAAGCTTAAGTGTATGTTTTATGTAACATTCAGAAAGTTTTGATGATGAAGAAGAAATGCATTATGGCCATTCGCTGGGGAGGAAACGTTCTTGTGCACAGGCTGTGACAAAATTAAACCAAAAAAAAGACAAAATGTGTCATTTGAAGCATGAAAGAACACTGCTGATACAAGACTTCAAGACTTTGCTTCTTCTGGATAAAAAAACAAACTGCAAAACAACAAAAAATGGAAAAAAGAAAGAACATTAGAGTGCATTTGTCAGGATGTCTGATGCCATATAACTGCAACGCCTCCAGTTCAATTGTGGCTGGGGACCTTTGATGCATTTCCTGTCTGTCCCTCTACAGTCATTATAAAATAAAGGCAAAATGCCCCAAAAACAATCTAATAAAAAGTGCACAGGTGGGTCAAAAAAACAACCTGAGTGCAATAAAAGTGCACTGTGTTCTTGTGCGGAGTCCTGATTGTGAATGGAGGAGCACTCCATCCACAATCAGGACTCACCAACATCAACCAAAATATTGTTACAGTCTACACCTGCTGTTACAAAGACTACATTTAGGTCACAGAAGTGTGCAGTTTTATGGTGCCACTTTACATGATTTCTGGGTGATGAAGTCCTCCAAACTTCCCAAATTCCAACCAGCCAATCTCTCATTGCCACTTACAGCTGCAGAAGTACAAAGTTGCTGAGTGCAGCTGTGAGGAAGTGACTTGGAAAACGCCTTTTTTTGAATGTACCGACAGGCGAGTGTGGAAAGTTCACCAGCGAGGGGTTTAACCATAGACAGCCGTGGCAGAGCCTTTCATCGACCGACAGTTTGAAGTGTCTGCGTGAAGCAGGGTGTCATCCTGGGATAAAGAAAAATTTAAAGAACGGGACGGATGTTGCTTTATGTGTCAAATAAAACACTAACTCCACACAGCGTTATCTGTCTCTTTGCCAGCTTTCAGGGTTTTAGTAATGTTGTATGGAAACACACACATGTTCCACTGCTGACTGAGTACGACTGCAGCCAAGTGCTGGCAACAACAGGCGACTGATGAGTCAGCAGCTGCCATAATCGCACTGGGGGAACATAAACAGCATCATATACTCTCAGTGGCTCTGCAAACACAGTGTTAAACCAGGTATGAAATTATGTTCTCTTTTAAAAATCAGAGCCCAGGGATTATGGACGATGGACGCAGTCACTGTAGGATTTGCTAATTAGGTATCATCTCTTTCTTTCTGTCTCTCTTTCCATCTCTCTATTTGCTTTCTTTCTTCATACCTTGCTCTCTCGCCCCCCAACCCTCACCTTGTTTATTGGCGATGAGAGGAGTGAGACGAAACAAGAGGCAAAAGAGGGCCTTCAACGTTCCTTTCTGTACATTTCGGATGAATTACAGTGGCAGTGGAAATAATTGCTTGTCCCAATTATGACTCCATCTGCCGTGGTTGGCTTTCTGATTTGATGGGGAAGAAATTCCCGAGAGCGATACCAAACAATGCGCGGGAATAAGGCACAGGAGCGCGTCAGTGGCCATTAATATCCATAAAGGCAATTTCACAACACACCTAATGACATAAAATGACAGACAATAACGGTTAGGTAATTAGTTTGTGTGATGTGTGTGTGTGTGTACAGGGGGATTAGAGTAAGGAGGTAGGCTAATATATGTCTCTGCAAACACATGTGGACAGCTTACCTAATAGTCGGTCTGTGTGTCTGATAAAATAATATGACTTTACAGGAGTGTGCAGACACAAAATATGGTGTGTGGGAAATGATTTCAATAACTTTTTCAAGTAAGTTTTTTCAGGGTCAGCTCTTGTCAAAATGTCCTGAAGGCTTCTAATATACATTTCCAATTAAAAATGTGATTTTGGATCAACTCTATCAGACCCAGTAAAAGTAGGACTTCTCATTTATGTTAAACTATGACCTAATAAAATTCCTATATTAATATTTGATTGTTTTTACAGATGCAGGAAGATGGAGGAAGTTTTAGCCATTGCACATACTGTTGAGTAGTTTAATCTAAACCAATGTATCCTATTTTATAAGCTGATTATAGGTTGTGTGTGTAAAATATTCACCTGTGACGTAGCTTGTAACAATAGCAGGAAAATAAGTTATTGAGTAAATGTACTTAACTATTTGATATGTTTCTAATATAAAATTCCCATTTAAATAAGAAAGTCATATTTTGGAGCATATTTACTTTTACTCCTCTAAAATTTCTATATAACTGAGTGCGTTTTGTACTGTGTTTTTTTTGTGTTGTAGTAAAAATATATATACTGTGTATGAGCCAAACTGTGACTTCATGGTCACTTTATATATATAATATCTATACGGTATTTAAAACATGTCACCCCCCTAAATTAATGAATTAAAAAGGGTTTAAAGTTTTATTTATGCTCTTATTTTTATATGTAAATTCAGTGTCATCATATTTACTAAAATATATAACCACAAAAACTACTGACTGGAGGAATAAAGGCAAAAGTATGTTAGTTTGATTGTAATGAAAAATGTGTTATTGGAGGGGATCAGTGTCTAACATTTGCTTGTCTTAAAAACTTTATCAAACATTTAAAAACTTTTCTAACAGTTTGAAATGTTTGATAAAGGCGTACATATTAATTAAGCAGTAAACTCAAATTCCCATTATGAAGTCCCATTAGAGTGGGAGCGCAGTGTCAGTGGGAATGTAGTTTCCTGGAGTGCCAGAGTCGCTGTGATTTCTTCCGGGTTCCTCGCGCACTTTGTTTTGTTTGGGTGTATCAGCTCAACATGACAGAAACTCCCCGCGTGCGGCTCTAGAAACTGCTTTTCTCCAACTTAAATGTCGGCTCGGCTTCAAAATAAGATGTTTTCTGGGTTTTGACACACCACTGTAGCTCGGTAACGGCGGACAAGCGACTTGAACGTGACTTCCTCCTCAACCGAGACACCTGTTGCTCCAGTTTCGACGGACAGGTGCAACTTTCTCCGCGTCCAACCGGGAGCAGCTCCGGACTCGAGACACTACCGACACTTGGATACATTTTATTTTATTTTTTAAAACCCACACAAGAATTTACAGCTACTATGAAAGTGACAGTGACTTTCGGGGGCACGGCCGTGGTGGTTCCCTGTAAAGCTGGATGGACCGTCCGGGATTTAACCGACCAAGCCACGCGGAGATACCGCAGGATATTGGAGCAGGTAAACACTCAACACCGCCACGAGCTGTTTCACTCCTCGGGGCCACTCTCCCCACACCGTGTTCGTGTAATTGTGGCCACAGAAAACGCTTCTTTCCGCTCATTCAACTCATTTTGTGACAACTAACTCCCACAACTTGGCACAGATGTGGGTCACGTGACAGGTTTGTGGTTATGACGTTCACAATATTAGAGCTAATATGATGTTAGCTGCTAGCTCAAATCAGGTAAGAACTCATTCTTTGCATTGAGATAATGATTTATTTTGTGACTAAAATTGAATAGAATTTGTTTTACTTAACATTTACATGTCAAGCAAGTACAAACCTCATTCGTAAAGAGTTTCACTTCCATGAAAGGTCTTTTTGTTGCTAGCTTATACTGTGGCCGGAGTGGTTACAAGTGGGAAGCCAGGCACTTCTCATCCTATTATCCTCATACTTCCTCTCCTAATGTGTCTTTCACAGAATAAACTACAAAAATAAAACATGTTCTCTTTTGGAGGAAACCTCCTTTTTTATATAGAAGGATTAAGCCACCTTTAAACAGCTAATGCTTTTATTTTGGTGGTGCAAATCTGTCAACAGAAGTGGTAAAGTTAAAATTTAGTCTAGCCTAATAATCATTTTACAGTTTTTTGATGTTCAGCAATCACAGAGGATGCCCAACTTGCCTCAATAGACCAGAATGCAATGCAGGTGCAGCAGGACATTTTGAAATATGAGTAAGGAGTGTCACATTACACAACTGGAACTCTGGTTGCCCTCTGGGTCAATGCATAACACATCTGGAACGTACTGTCAATACTCCTTTTTTCACAGCAGCCATTTTGACATGACGCTCAGCACATTAAGGCTCTGTTCCATTTAGTAACTAACTTCGTACCTGCTCTGATGGGAGTCATCAAAGTCTTTCTGGGAAATGTAGGAGCAGACAGTTTTGAGGGGAAGTGCAGACGCTAAAATGCAACACATCTTCACCAAAATACCTCCTGGCGTGCACCGAACATCCCAAACCAAGCAGATATGGTTGTATAAGACTTTGAGAAACACTGATGTAGAGTGTTGTTTTCCACTTGTGTAGTTTCGAATGTCCCCACATAAACACAAAGAAATGAGCCCCATCTATCTGCTCCCTGATGTTGCAATCACTTGAACATAAATCATTCTGCCGAACTGACCTTTTTATTAATCAGCAGCTTTGTATGTGCATGCTGTCCCGGCGTGATAGGGTGCTGATGTGTGTTTCGTCTGTGCGAGGGTGTGAGCTGTGCTGGCTGCGTCCTCGGCTGTCTACCTGTACAATGGCTCCCTGTTTAAGCTCCGGTATCTCAACGGGCAGGTGGAAGTTTACTGTTTGATGTCCTCAATGTGGCTGCAGTCGGGGATGTGCGCTGCGGACAGGAGGCTTTGTCCCGTGAGTGATTGGGGATTAGGATTGGTGACAGGCCCTGGTCTTATCGGTTGGCTGGTCCCCCCCCCCCACCCACCCATCAGCCCGCCCACGCGCCGTCCCCCTCGGCGAGGCGAGAGGCTGGTTTGTGGAGATGCGAGAGGCCGCGTAAGCAGGGATGGAAGGAGCGATTGGGTGGCTGGACGGCTGGATGGATTGCTTCCACTCACTGAGGGAGCACACACACACCTTGACGGCCACACACACACACACACACACGCACACGCACAGAGGAGCTCATCTAGCTCTGTGTCCCCTGAGCTGTCACGTCTCTGCTTCACTGACAGCCACAGCCATGCCCACTCTGCCCAGCGGTCCCTGTTGATTTTCAACGAGACACGCCGCTGTGCACAAGCTGAAGTAGGCTAAACGCGAGTATGTATGTGATTAGAATGCACCGGTCCCTTGATTGCTTTTCACAGGGCATTTTTAATTAGGGGAGCCATTGCTAGACGCTGATTCAGCAGTCTGTTGCCTTCTCTTAATAGAGGCAGATCATCACAAAGGACAGTCCGGCTCCATATCTGCCAGGGAGGACCGAACAGATCTGACCGGATGTGCCGGCTGCTCCTGCCAGCAGATCCCACTTAGCGCCCACATTAACCGCACATTTCTCCACTCCCCGGCCTCACGGCTGACAGCAGGGACAGTGTCAAAAACCAGGGTTTAATCACCGAGGGGTTTGAGTGTGTGTTGGTTTATAGCCATGTGCAGGGTGAACAGGATTCTGCAGTGTCTCACCGTGCTTTGCAGTAATGGCATGTAGACCTTCTTAATTAGCAGTTTATTTTAACGCGAGCTCGGCTGTGACTCTGTACGTGTTCGGCTGCTTTCATCTCCACTGTTGATGAAACAGTTGTGTTAACCGACAAAGCCTTTAACTAACTGCATACAGAAAATTACTGCTCATTATACAGTGTAATTTGTAAAATATGAGTGTGCGTGCTATCATGAGGGTGACAAAAGATTTTCCCATACAGTTTTTTTCTCTCCACACAATATTCAATCACTGCTATTGTGGCATGTGATTAAGAAAGTGGGAGTTGTGTAAAGATTTGCACCTAAGGTGTTAAGATTGTTATAGTAGATATATTTGTTCAATTTCAAATGAAATCTTAACTTAACCTCCATCCGTCATCCATATAATTACTAAGAAAAACTAGGTTTGGTTTGTGGAAGATTATGGCCTATTTTTCCTAAAAATCTCTACAACTACAACTATTTTCTGTTAGAAAGTTGTTGTGAATGAATTTTGACTAATTTCAGCCCTCTTCCTGTAGACTGTGGTGAAGTCCACAGTTGCAGGAGTCTTGATAACAGCTGACTGTATTAGTAGAGGACTATAGCCTGGGGGACCGGCATGTGGACTGCGAGTGTTGTGCGTTCTCAGGGGAAACAGCCAGGTACTGTAGCTGTCTCACTCTGTCTCATGGTCTGTCTGTGCAGGTTCAGTTCAGATTACAGCCCCTATACTGCACTGACACCTGACAGAGCACTAAACAAGCTGAAAGCACTTTTCTTTCTCATGTATGTAGGAGGGAGAGGAGTCGTCCAGTGTGGGTTGGTATGTGCGTCAGAACTCAGCTATGCAGAAGGCATTTTTAAAGTTTAATGTAGCTATTCAAACCTCGCTGTTTGTCTTCCTTTGGGTGTTGCAGGCTGGCTGTCAAATGTGTTCAGGGAGAGGGTCTGCATTCATCAAACTACTGTAACGTGTATTGTGTTAACACTATTGATCTCTGAAGGGAAATACTCCCCCAGTTCAAATAACTGTATAGCTACAGAGCAGCATAGTGACGCTAGACGGTGTTTAGCCGGAGGGCACTGTTAGCAGGACAGACGCCCACGCCCATATGACTTAAGACTTGGGCATCCCAGACATCCTGAGATCAAGAAGCAGAGGTGCATCTGTATCAGTTCTCAGTTACAGAGACGTGAAAGCACAGAATCTTTATTTAAACTGAAATGCCACCCTGTCTGATTTCAGCGTGTGCCAGTGTGCAGCTGCAAGGTTCCTCAACTTTAGGAGTATGCCGTATTAAGTGTCGTAATCTTTAAACTGTTTCAGTAAAAGCGCTGACAAATAATAGGCCTTTAGTTTAGGGTTAGCGTTGCTATTAGCAGGAGGTAAATATTCCAACACCTTTAATCTAAATGTTTGATAAAATGAGACCACACTGTAACATATTTTATTTCCATTAAAAAGTTAACAGAATTCTGGTCAAAATTCGATATGAACTAAATTTAGGGACCCTTATCACAAATGTTTAGTGAATGTTTTTAACTCTCAGATATCACATGTGTTGGCCAGGCTCTCCTACACATGATTTGATAGGGGTTTGAATTGTTTTCAAATGAATGCATAAGTAAAGCAAGTAAAACTCTTTTATAAAGCCATTTTTTAAAGAAAAGATTCTTCAATGTGAATATTTCTGTTCTATTCGTGACATTTTATGGACCAACTAACTAATCAATTAATTGAGGAAATGATCAACAGATTAATGGATAATAAAAATAATGATTAGCTATTGGCAGATTGGATTATTGCACCCCTACTTAGTATATTTGTGTTGGTGGTTTTGGCCCTGATAGAATGTAGACGAAGGTCAAGTCTCCATCTCTCTTCCATTCTCTGTCCTCGCACCGATGGATCCGACTCAGAGACAGCTCCTCATCGACGTGTTCATTAAAGACTTTCTCTTTCAGTCACGGCTAAATCCACACCGTCCTCCTGCAGCTGTGTAATTACATATTCTTCTGAGGATCAAAGTGTGAAAGAGCACCCCCAACTCCACCGCCACCGCCGCCGCTGCAGCCCCGCTGAATTTAGCTTCACTAATCGCCCCCGACGCTTCACCGTTCTCGAGTGGTGTCATGTTTGCTCACCAGAGAGGGGGGGAAGAGGGAGAAGAAGGAGAGATATCACTTTAAATGGTGTGTCGGGGGGGGGGCTTAATGGTGTAATTTGCAGGGAATTTACTCTTCTACCTGTCACGGTAATTCTCCTCAGCTGTTGACTGACTGACTCCCGACTCCTTTTGTTTTTTATTTCACGGGAAGAGTTGAGGATACAAAGGGGAATTACCAGGGATTGACAATAAGGGACTTCAGAAGAGTTTTTTTTCTTTCTTATTCCCCCTCTTTCCTCTCTATAGATTACTTCCCTTCTGAAGTGTCATACATTCCTCCCTGGCCTTTTCATCACCAGCCAGAAAAGAGAGGAAAGTGTGTTTCCTCGGGTCTTGTGAGTTCTGGCTGAGGAAACAGAAGCGCGAGTACGCCAGGTGTGCTTAAACACTGCCTGCAGAGGTGACGCTAATTAACACTCAGGCATTGTTGTGCTCTAATCCACCGATGTGAATTAATACTTCTCCCCCGAAAATAACACTAATGCCTCTCATTTCATTAAGGTGCGTGTCTTAATGCCGATGATGTGATGTCACTGCAAAAAAAAGAGCCAATTACCGTCCTTCCCTCCTTTGCTGTTGCTGTCACACACACACACACACACACACACATACTCTCTCTCACACATTAACAGTGTCACTGAGAGGCAGAGGAATGCCGGCAGTCGTTCAGGTTGGACCAGTTTTTCTGGCGCGGCGTGAGCCCCGGCGCTTTGGCTGCTTTCAACATCTCCATCCAACATGTGCTGCCACGTAGTAAACATTTTTAAATCCACAAATTAATATTTCTGGTTTCAAGCACCGTATAAGCTCACAATGAGTCTAATTAAATCATTTCCTATCATTAACTGAGCTTTGTTGGTTTCAACTCAGGTCAAGTTGAATTGGCAATGCAGTACCATTTCTCCCTGTTTTACATCTGGTATTAGCATTTAATCTATCACATGTCCTGAATACCATTTTTTGGGGGGCTCCGGAGCATCAGTAGTAATCAATAGTGAATACTTGAACTGTCGGCGGGGGGTGAGGGGTGGTATTTTTACTGAAAGGCCAACGGCATCCACAATTGATTAACTAGTAGACAGTCTCCCCTCGCTCCACCCCTCCCGTACAGTCTACTGACAATCACACAGGGAAAGATAGAGACACGTTCTCTGGTATTACATTAGAATACCCCAACACAGCGGATATTTATAAGCATGGAATATAATATCCATAGTGACGTTTCCATTAGTGTATAATCGCATGAAAATAAGAATTGTTGTGTTTTCATTACCTTAGAATGAGATGTTTTTAGTCCACCATGTTGAACCGGCATTTTTCTACAGTAGCCCAGAAAAGCCAAACCAAACACCGGCTCTAGTTAGGGCCTTGGAAGATTTTTTTTGGAGACTTCTTATCTGTCTTTACATACAGTATGTGTCTCAGATGAGTTTATCTTTACATAACTTTCAACCACATCTCACAGTCCATCTGTTGATGAAGACCGTGGCAGTATTCGAAAGCCGCCTACTATACTAGCAGTAAGAACTGATTTTCCAAAATGTAGCATGTAGTATGCAGTATGCAAACAAAAGCAAAATCTCCAGTATGCATCGAACCAGTTTACCTCGCCAACTGTATCCCACAATGCAAAGCACCAGAACAATCACAACAAACAGTCAGGCAGGTGAGATGCAGTTAAACACTCAAGTTACCATTTCCAAGGTCTGTAATCATCATCATCATCATCATCATCATCATCATCATCATCACATCACAATCATCACAATCATAATCATCTCACTCGTACTGCAATGTTGGTACAACTTGATGTTTTTTACAGCGACGGGATGCTCGGCGCTCTTGAATCAGACTGCCTGTGCGTTTGCCGTCGCATTGTGCGACCACCGCAGTGTATTTCTGTGTGCTAGTTGTAGTTGCAGATTGCTCGCTCCATCTCTCTCAGCTCTGGCGCTGGTATTATGGGCACTTCTGAAGAAAGGGAGGTTCTGGCTTTATTCCTGTGATTGAAATCCCAGGCCCTCCCAACCATTTGTTTTAAGAGAATGGACTTGGCCCATTGTGAAAGGCAGACACCCTCTTTTTTTTTTTTTTTTTTGTGCCCTGTAATTCACATTCGGATGCAGCGGAGCAAGAAGGAGCCCATTCACAACGAGGGCTCGGTGATACAGCAGAAGCCACTCGCTGGGTCTCAGCCAAACTCATTCCAGCCTCCGAGGCTTACAGCCTATAGCTGTTAATTTAGCTGGTAATGTAGTCTTGTGTTGCTCTTGACAGATTGCTTATTGGTATGGGCAGTTCCTAATGGGCCATTTTCTACTGCACACATTGTTGGAAACGATAAGGCTTGTCAACGATTTCTTATTTTTAGTTTAGAAATGACTTTTAATAGAAACTGTGGGGAAAAAAATAGCAGCAGATATTTATTTAACAAGGCTAAATTTAGGAGGTTGGAATTACAGTTCGTTTTATTTCGTATTCATAATTTATCCTCAGCCTCATCTTAAATTGTTCACAGATGCATTTTCTCTTGGAGATCTGCATAGCATCGCCACAATAGACTGTGTGTATACCGAGTCACAAAAAGGGGAAGATGCTATTGTTTCGCCTACTTCTCTGTTTATTCTGATGTGTAAATAGCACACAGATGTCAGATTGCAGCTTAGTTTTAGTGTTGTCAATGGCTGAAGCATCGGGCTCTGTGTAGTTCCTGCCCTGCGGGGCGTGTTCACTCTGACCTCTGTCTTCATGGTGACAGTGAAACTGGCCTGGAATGCGCCCACCACCACCACCACCGTTTCCCACAGACCAGCAAAACTGGAAAGGTTCCTGTCCTCCCTGACTTCAGTTTCACATTCTTCTGTACAAATTGTAAACCTGGTGTTGTGCGTGTACACCTGTTCCCACTGTAGATGCCAAACAAACATTGAAACCTGCTGTTATGTCTGGATATATGTCTGATTATTATGTTGACTGACTGTCTATGTCACATTTGTTGCTGTAAACAAAGCATTCATAGTGGTTGAAAATGGCCAAGTTATTTTATTGTCATACTTTATACTGAAACAGTGGCTAAAGTCTTTAAACATAGGTCTGTAAAAGGGAGAAAAGTCTGAGTAAAGTACATATATGGGATATATTACATTTTAGCTGTTAGAGCAAATACCAATATATTTTTTACATATGATATAGCCCTATATTAAAGGGACAGATACCTCCAGTATAAAAAGTATAGCAACATTTTTTGATACTTGACAATTGTATATGCTTTCACAATAATCTGATCCCTTCCCACCATTAAAATAGTATAAATTCAAGGGAGCAAATGTGGGATATAGTTCTTTCTACAGATCTTACAGGGGAAAATGCTGCCAAACTTCCCCAGTAAGAAGCTTTGTTATGAGGCCATTGTCAGTTAATGTACACACAACTTGGATGTTTTCTATATTTGGCCTGTCACCCCTCTGACAGTTTTTGTGAGCATTGTTCCATAAATGTAGCTATTGTATCTCCATGAAGAAGTTTGTGTTTATGTTTATGTCCCACAGTTTGCATATGTCTGCACTGTGTGTGCGTGTGTGCGTGTGTGCGTGCGTGCGCGCGTGCGCCCACTGTTGCACTACAGTGACAGCTAATTAGCCCCTTCAGGACTTCCTGGCATTTTATGTTTCTGGAGCCTTTTGTTTTTTTCATCTGTAATTAACAAAGATTTTCAGAAATGTGTATGTTTTGGTGACATTAGGATTGACCCCACTTCTGGTGTTTGCTCTAATTAATTAGAGTGTGACCAGTTTAAGGTGGACATTTGAACCAGCCTTAAAGCTGATAGGTTGGTTAAATGCCAACACAGATATCATTGGCTGTTGTAGCTATTCTCCTATCCTTAATGAATTTCTATTTTTTCACTATCTGGTGTCTTTGTGTCCAGCATGGGGAGACTGAAGTGAAGACCCACCACTTGGAGTACCTCGAAGGAGGGATCCTGGACATGGACGACCTGCTGAGTGATCTAGTGGAAGACAGAGACAAGGTGAGGATGATTGTTTGTTTGTTTACTTCCATTTGGTTTATCTAGGCTTGCACACTTTTGTTCTACCCTTCTCCCCATCCACCCTTCAACACATCAGACACGTTGACATGCGATTGACAGCAGTTTCTCATGGTTGCACAGCTTTAGCGTGACAAAATGAGCTTTGATGCAAATGGCAAGCTTTTTATGATTGTTCTTACCTGGTTGGAGGTACAGTGAATTACAGCAGAGCATCCATCAGTCTTAGCCGCGCTTAAAGTCTGGTAGCGGATTTATTTTGACTCCCTTCGTAAAGTATCCAGCCTGGCAGGATGACAGGGTGTCCAATAAACAAGGTATTTGTAAATCCAAACCTTGGTTAGCTTGTCACTGGTTGTTTTTCCTGCTATGGTTCTGACCAAGTAAATAAAACTCTGATTGGATTAGTCTGCATCTTAATTCACGCCACGCTCAGTGCTCGGTGAGGAAGTGAACTTGTTTCCTCCTCTCGTCTCCCCCAAAACCTCCTTCCCACCTGTTTCTTCAGAAAGAGAGTTAGGAGTGGTGACGGCGCCGTGTGATTTAGCTGTCATGTTCATTTTTACTGAGAGAGATGAAAGGCCACCATTTTAGATTTTAAACAAATCAGCCATGTGCAGAGGGAAGTTCTCCCAAACAGCAGTGATGTAACGTCACAGAATTGGGTGTTCACACACACACACACACACACACACACACACACACACACACACACACACACACACACACACACAGTGGCCCAATTTCTATAAAGAGCACATTTCATTCCTCTTGCTAATTTCCCTTAATGCATTCCTAAGATGTGCTAATAAACTGCCCGAAATCCATATTCATAAGCCCCGGGCCCAGACGAATGATGAATTATCAACACTTAGTCAGCAAGAAGGCCAAATGAAATGGAAATGGAATATTCAGCCGACCCGTACCACGCAGTAACAATTGGTGTTTTAAGCTGCATGAACAATAGAGTGTGTGTGTAGGTGTGTGTGTCTGTGTGTGTGTACGTGCGTGTGTGTGTGTGTGTGTATGTGCGTGTGTGTGTCATATGCATGTAGAACTGCAAGTTTGGCAAAATACTCTGTGAAAAAGGGGACACAACTAAATAATAGATGTGTAAACTCAATGGGAATCTTCAACAGAGGAGGGGAAAAAGTTTTTTTGCAATCAGAGAACAGAGGCTTCATTTTCCAGGATGATGGAATTCTAATCATAAGATCTGCGTCTTATTTGTGCATAAGAGTGTGAGTCATAGATTTTAATGACTCATTTTCCTCAACCTAAACCTGCTTTCTCTCAGCGTTCCTCAAGAGTGACGATGAAGTGTCACAGATCAAATCCCGCTCTTGCATTTGATCAAATTCGCGCACTAACAAGTTACCCTGGCGTCGGCTCTCTTTTCCCGACTGCTTTTGTGATTACAAGCTCTGCTGAGCAAACGCTTCACTAGAACTTGCACCGTGCAGGAACTGTCCTATTTACCTTTTGTTTCTTTACTCTCTCAGCTTTTTACCTAATTCTCCAAACGCCCTCCCCCTGCTTTTCATCTCGCTTTCTCATTTTATCCTTTTGTTTTTTGCTGCTGATGAAAAGATAGCAGACGGAATAGGACGAGCGCCCGTGATCCTCGCAACGTGCCAGTCATCCGACTTATCTGCGGGCTTCCAAACAGCGTTGGCTCTCATAGATTAATGAGCCATGCCTGGCATTCTTGATTAGTCTGACTTCCTTTTGTTTGTCTACGTTTTTATTACCATGCCGCAGCCGACAGATTCTATCTTTAGTGCTTTTCTTTTTTGTTCTGTTATTGTGGCCGGCGCTGTTTCACCATCAATCATACAGGAGTGGTCCCATTGTGAGGGCCCTCCACTGCACAGCATGGGCCCTGTGTTAGCCGCGGATGCTAATGAGAGATAATGGTTAGCTATTTGTACGCCTTGTGGTTAGCTTAGCCGCGAGTCCAGACCTCTTTATCTGGGCCAGCCCCCGACCATTATTCAACACACACACACACATACACGCACACACACACACACCTCTGCCACCGAGCCACAGGCAGGCGTGTAGCGTAGCATGTTAGCATTAGCGTGTACGGAAGGTGCGCCACTGGTGGTTGATGAGGGCGGAGATGAGGGGGCGGCTGTGATTTGATTACAGCTCTGCCCCCTGCATCTGCGACATGTGCGCACACACGCACACACCCACACGCACGCACTCTCCGTTCATTAGCACCCCATCTCGAGACACCGGCCACCAGCCTCCTCATGAATATTTATATCAGTCTGATGAATGTGAAGAAGGCCATGGGGTGGTGGCTTAGGTGTGACCACATATACACAGTACACACTCGCAGGCACAAAAGATCACAGTATAAAGAGAGCACTGCAGGTCACGGTTCAGTCAATTATACTCTATGAAGCTCTCTTCTTCTTTGACCCTTCACTGTGGGTGTGTTACGCGTGTGTGTATGTGTGTGCGCGTGTGTGCCCTGCAGCTCTCGGATGACAGTTGGAGGCATGGCGGTTGGAGTCATTGACCCGTCAGATTCCCCGCTACTTTGTTAATGGCGAAGAGAAGTGGGCAGACATTACAGCTTTTTCGATCTCTTCCTCTTTTGTCACACTGTTTTGGTCAAATCGCAGTAGTTTAGAGACTAGTTAACCGGCTCTTTATCCTCTTTATCTACCACCAGTCCGTCAACCATTATTGTCAGTGTTAGGCGTATCGTTGTGCAACGTTGTGATGAAATATCAGGATTTGTCAAGTATTAATTCTGCCAAAAACTGACATTTCCAATCTGTTGTTTTACCTTTCTTTCCATTCCTCTTTATTTCCCCATCTCGCCCTCGCTCCTCCATCCCTCCCCTCTCCCTCCTTCAGATGCTGTTATTAACAGATGTAGAGCCTTACCTTTGCACATTTGCCCATTTACCGCTACCAGAACTGTCATTCTCTCCCATTCACAGTCCTTTGGGTGCATTAGCCTCGGCCATTACTCGCATACGTCTCCACGGTACACAGGAGCTGTCAGACAAGCTGTCCAATGCCAGCATGCCATTAACATAGTAGCTATACACCAGGTTTCAGCTGGTGAGCCCTCCCATATACAGCATAGATACCGTATACATGACTGCTGCTGTTTCCTGTGTTCATTGGAGAGATTTCTTGTCAAGCGAACAGAGCACTTGGTTCAGAATGCTGCTGGGTGCGACATAAATTAAACTTTATACCGACGCTGCTTGATTAGAAGACCCTCTCATCATTCCTCGCCGTCACCCACATGCAGCTGAAATTTGAATGTTCAACATGTGTGAGTGTCCTCTCTTGTCACGCCGATCTCCTCCAGAGTGGGAATTAAACTCAGGGAGCATAACGTCTCCTCATAAGTGGACTGTCACTCCTCATTCCATGTGCACAGACACACATACACATTACCCCACACGGACCTTGTTTTTGAGGGGGGAAAAAAAACCTAAAAATCTCCACCTTCCATCCCATGCAGCCAAATGAGAAATCTAATTTCATGGGAAATTTAATGAAAAAAAAAAACTGGAATGATTTTCTCCATCTCTCTTTAATTAGCCCGTTGTAATCACTGCGCCTGCAAGGCGGCCATGAACTTCCTGTGCAGTCTCTGGTTGCTGGAATGTAAATGGTAAGGGTGCATATCCCAGCTGATCTCCCTCTGAAATGTCAGTGCTTGATTACCAGCCCATCTCCCATCATCCATCTCTTCTGCCTGCATGTCACAGTGGAGGACGCAGTGCTAGAGAAATCGGTCGGTCACATGGAAATGTGTTATGATATTCAAAGTAGGTGGTCATGAGCATCTTTCATATCCTGTAAAGAGAAAATGACACCTCTTTGAATAACGACCCTCTTTAATTGGACACCATGTAAGGAAACCTTTACTCACTTCATTTTACAAATTGAACAGATGTACATGAAAGTGCTGTATTTATTACAAATGTTCAATAATGGAGGGTTATGATTTCCACTAATTAGACTTCTTATACTAAATATATCTGATATTGTTTAAACTACAGCTGCAAAATTGCACTCTAGTACAGCCAGTAATATTTTTGGCCAGAGTTATAACATTTCTATTATAAAAATGATTCCATAGATTTCCTCAGACACTGTCTGTACCACACCCTGTGGAGTTTTTGACCAGCAGTGGTGCTATGGAGCAGTGTTTTGAAGAGTGGGTGCCTGTTTTGTTTGCATCTCTTGCCACGCTCACATGAGGAGGACGACAGCTGGCATTGTATACTCACAATCTTATGGGCGCCAAGAGACATATATAGAAAGGCGGCAGCAAATTGCAAGGAAGAAGAAAACGGCCAGCCATAATGCTCTTTGCTACTGGCCAAACTGTGTCTGTAGCACTGTGCATCAAAAACTGGAATGTCTGGTCAAATACACACAATTGTATTTACTAATTGTTGATTTGATTTTAATTTGACATTTTGCATTTCCGAACAGAACAATACATTTCAAACTCCTGCTAGGTGATGTCAACATAGATCTATACAATCAGGTTTTATAAATATTAATATAAATTGGCTTTGCAAATAGTTTGTTAAAAAGGAAATGCATTCATCATTTTTGTTTGGCCTCAAAGACATTGACAGGAAACACTTGATCTATACACAACTGTATATGTTTACAATAACCTAAGCCTGCATCTCAATGCAAATTTAGATCAGTCCAGTATATTTACAGGCCAAATGTGGACATACGACATTGTGAAGTCCAGTGTGGAGCTTCACACCTCAAAACTCACAAACTCACAATGAAATGAAATAATTCTGCTGTAGATTTTACTTCCTCCAGTTCCAGGAGAACTCTCCTGTGAGTTATGTCAAGTGATTTGCCTGAAGTTATTTATTACATGTCAGATGTCAGCGCCTCTGACAGGCGACAATAAGGCATTACTTAAAACGTGCTAACCCGCTGGAGAAAAAAGTTTAGTGAATGGGACG